TAAGAGACAGGGGTTGGAGAGCTTCTTGTCTTCAGCTATCTGTTTTTCAAAGCATTAAATCCACCTACAAACATTTACAATCTTTTCACAGGAAGAAGGAAAACATAATCTAGTATTCCTTATTCCCTAGCATGAAATAAATTTCATTGATAGGTGAAGTGTGTAAAATGTTTGCCTAAACTCTGTAGCCCTTCCATATTGACTTTTTGATAAATATTAAAGGGCAGAAGGCCACTTTTGACTTTCCTGGAACTTGAACAATCAGAACTGCCAACATAAGTAAGCAAATTGCCCTTGTGTCTGTGAGTGTAGTCAAAACAAATAAATAGCTGAATGTTCTTCATAATAGATGACAGTCAAATTGTATGTACCTGCAAACAGCTGCTCTTTCTGCTGCTAAGCTAAAGAAGCAGAGCATTTTAGGACGCAGCTGGATGCTTCTTAGAGGCACATCTGTTGACTGAAGATTTTTGACATGTCTCTACATTAGACAGTTTAGGGCTTGTATTACAAAGAAATTCTGCATCTCGGAGATTTTCTGGATTTAAAATATTTTTAATTAATCTTACTCTGAGTATATAAGGACATTTAAAAAGGCAGCCAAAACCCAGCAATAACAACTTTGGTACATGTCCCAAATGAAGAACCGTTCTGTTCTGCTGTGTTAAGCAGTACACATCTTTGGTCATACATACCTGTAATACATTATCAGTATGATGCAGAGGTGTGTGTATAGACCTGTACATAGGATTTCTTGGGATTACACAAACCAGAAAAGAAAATCTTTGGATGAGTACAGCACTGCTTACTTGATATACTAAGTTCCTTCACAGAAACAAGACAATGGTACCTTAGGAAACTTTCCTCTTATTTTTGTGTCCATGTTATAAGTCTTTTTTGTATAATTTTAGCTTTTGGTTACCTGCTGACTTCAAGTATCGAATACAAGGAACTCTGAAAGATTTATGTTGTATAAACTGCAGAGATTTTTGTGAATAAATAAATTATTGCTAATCATTATATGCTCTTGTATAACATTGACTGCACTTACCACTGTTCTGTGCTTTACGGAGGAGCCTCACATGGACTTATCTGGGCATCAAAGTGTAGATTATTGAAAAAGTTCTAGACAGCCATTTTCATCATAGCCTGACTTTTAAATTTAAAGTCTAATTTACTATTTTTCCATTTTATAAAATGATAAGCTTTGCTGCAGGAGAGGGTGAAGGCTTTTGTATTGCCTTTCATTGTCTTGCTGGGCAGCCAATCCCATAAGATTCTTTTATTTGTGAAAGGGACATAAAACTGTTGAACAATTAAGCACTGAATGATGTGCTCAGATTACCTCTGAGTTGGTAAAGGAAGAGTGTGAATAATGTCTGAAAACCACTGCCTGCTGTGGTCTCTTTGGCATGCAGCAACATGCCTACGGCAGATAAGAGACTGCAGCGTGTTCTTCAACCTCAGAAATATTTCTTTCCAAATGGCCTATGTGTGTCTTGATTTTAAAATACTTTTTAACTTTACACTTTTTATATCTTGCTTCGATTCATTCTTTCATGTATTCTCAAGAGGTCATTTCAAATTAAAATGGCTGGCTGTTTAACTGGCCCAGATGTAACTTTGAAATAACACAGAGCTTGCATCAGCTTCTGTCAAACCCTGATCTAAAAATTTCTGCCAATATTGCTACTGTTCGTGCTGGAGTCCCTGAAGCCATCTTTTTATGTGTTGAATCTTACTGTAGGTTTGAGTTCAAGCACAATTGGTATGTTTTTGTGGATGCTAACACCATCTTTTGTCTTTTTTCTATTTTATTTGAAGTTCCTCCTGAATTTCTGAAGCGGCCTGCAAATATTTATGCTCATGAATCTATGGACATTGTGTTTGAGTGTGAGGTGACTGGAAAACCCACTCCAACTGTGAAATGGGTCAAGAATGGCGACATGGTGATCCCAAGTGACTATTTCAAAATTGTTGTAAGTATATTGTCGATTTTGCAGATTTTTAAGCTGTTGGTCCTCTAACACATAGCATGGAAGCTAAGTTCTTTTATAGGACCAGCTTCCTGGTTTTGTACTATGGATGTTCAGGGCCTGGAAGAGAAATGATTTTTGAAACATTTAATGCTCTGTAATTCAGTTGTTCTACTGAACCACTAAGGCATGCTACTTATATTGTATGAGTTGATTTCTTTGTAGCTTAGATTTTCCATGAGATACAGATGCACTCACAATGACAAAACGCACTTTATTTGCTGAACCTGTTGGAAGTGCAGGCTCACCATGAACACTCACTGACTGTGTTTTCTGCAGCCGTCTGTGATCAATGAAAATTATAATTTCAAACAGGAGTTTAAATATAAATATAACTGAGTTGTGGATCATGAGTTTTGTCAAACTGATACTTCTAGTGAGAAATTTTAGATGTAGTGAAAGTCATTATTGAGACATGGTTGAGAATTTAATGGTTGTATAATTGGGTATACCTGAGGTTGTAGGATTGTAACAGTGAGCTACACAGTTATACTCAGTGCTTAAAATATCGTAAAAATGGCTGTGGAGATGTTATGACGCCACTGATATGTGATGCTAGAAAATGATAGCCATTAGTAAGAGCTTCTGCTGCTTTTTGATACTGTATAATTTGAGGATTCAGTGCAAGAGAGATGAAATCTGACGGGAACTCCGAATACATTTTTCCATGATACTGTTCAGAAGTTTCTCCTGTCAGCGTAATGTGCCATAATAATACCGTTGTTTTTGCAATTGCAACCCATTTTTAAGTGTTGCATTTTTCCTTGACTCTTCAGAAAGAACATAATCTGCAAGTTCTGGGTCTGGTGAAATCAGATGAAGGATTCTATCAGTGCATTGCAGAAAATGATGTTGGAAATGCACAGGCTGGAGCCCAGCTGATAATACTTGACCTTGGTAAGATAAACCATGACAGTAGAGTGCCAGAAGATGGGGAGGAACAATTTCAAGAGACCATTTCCAGATGATGTATCTATAACTCAGCTAGCATAGGATGTTTTTTTTAAAAAAATCATATGAGTGGTTCAGTGTTGTATTCTGTACACTTAAAGTTACTTAGGAGAAGTTAAGGAGTTCGATAGGATTCAGCTTGTATTTTGGAAATTATGTAGAAAATATTTAGTGCAGTAATAAACCACAGCCAGAAATCTGAAATGTTGTTGCATGCTGTGAGATTTTAAAAAAATAACAGGGTAGCTGAAATGAAAGCAATCACTGAAATCACAAAAGTGAAAAATAAGCAATTATGGAGCACACCGCAAATGAAGTATTTTACACCAAAGTCATTCCAGTGTCAGAAGCTTTTTTTCTATTAGTTTAAAAAGTAGTAAGATTTGTCATTTCTGCAAACTGCAGTTGCAACATTTTTTTTTGTTGCAGCTGCAGTTTAAGATAAATATTTGTTATTGTGCTCTAGTCAGTGGAATTACCAACAGTGCTCACTTTCTTGCAATGTCCTGCACTGCATATTTTGGATGTTAAAAGAGAATAATTGCTGTTACGATTAAAGACCTACTATCTTCCAGAAAAAAAGGTAGTATAAATGTCATTGCTAAGACATCAGTTTATTTTGCTTTTTCAGGTCACACAGTTCTCAAAAATAATTTCTAAGAGCACAAGGAAGAAAACCAATAGTAAGAGGGATTAGGGGACAGATAAGTCAGACCAGAAAGTTTTAACTCTGTACTTTTGGGGGCTTTTGTGTTGACTGTCTTTTTGGGGTATTGATCAGAATTCTAATTTCTGTTTTATTTGGATAGAGAGGATTTAGGAGAAACAGTCTTACGTATGGTCAGAGGCATGATGTAACTTCACACTTGCAATTTTAACAGATGTGAATCTGCTAGACATGGTTTTGGTGTTCAACATACAGAGAGAAAACTGTTATGAGCATGCCATAGAGAGATTTTCCATTTGTTTTTCTGATTGTTTTGTAGAGTAGTTTTGTGCTTAACTTCTGAATTCTCGTTTGGATATGGGTATGTTTCATTGCTGGCTGAAGAGCTGCATGAACTTTCCACAATTATTTGGGGAATGAAAGGTGCCCTCTACTGGATTCAGCAGCTTTAATGCTATAGAGCCGTGGGATTTCAACCTCCAAGTAGTGGTAGGCATCTGGATCCAGCAATGGCTTACTGTCATCAGGTTGCCAGAAAAACTATTAGAAGTAATTTTATTTCTGCTATATGCATGAATCACCTGAGTAGTTTCCAAATCTTTCAAGCGGAAGCATTATTCCATATTTTCCACATTTGAAAAATACTGAATAATTAATGTACTTGGGTTTTGAAGCCCTGCCCAAGTTTGTACTTTCACCTAGTTCCCAGTAGTGGTTTATAAATTACTATTACTGTTATTATTTTAGTTCCTGTGGTCTCATTCTTCTTCCTTTCCCTCTCCTGTTGTTTGGCCAGTGGTTTCATTTTCCTGTTCTACTCTGGCAACCTGTCCTGTTATACTAAAGGACTTTGCCTTATAATGCTGTCCTTTTTCTTTTGCATGCTGCCAAAGGATTATGGATGCAGTGTTGATGGAGTCTCATTTCGGGTGTAAAGATACACTCCCAAAGTCCTATCATTCTGTTACATGGCCTACAGTGTTTTTAACAATGCACTCCCCGTGTAACACAGATGCGTTTTAGTTGTTGTTTTCCAGCAGTAGAGATAACCACATGGTACATCACTGAAAGTACATTTTGTTGTTGTTGAGTAGTGGCATATCAGGTAGTGCAATTAGGAATAAATATACTATGTCTTAGTTGTGATACATGAAAACTGGTATACACAGTCGAAGAAAATACAGATGTTTGATATTTTAATACCTTCTCACAATATATGAACAGCAAAGAAGGAAACAATATTCAGGGAAAGAGGGTGAAGGTATCATATATAGTAGCTCTTTCATGACTGCTACCTTGGTATGAAAATTAAAAACACTAATTTGAGCAAAAACTGTTCTGAGCACTTTGGTCAATAATTCAGAGACCTTTATATATATTTATATTTATTTATATATATATATTTATATTTATATTTTATATATATATATATATATACCTGGTGATGAGAAATACCTCATTTGCCAATTTGAAAAGTAATTTCAGTGAAGAAACGCTGATTAAATGTTCATCAAAGTTCTTCCCATTTAGCAGTGTGTTCCTTTCATTGCTGTTATGTTTTCTCTTTCCTAAATGGAATTGGCAGACATCTGGCTATTTACAAACTATTTCCCATTAGCCCTTTTGCTTTTCATATCAAATTGATCTTTAATAAATTAAATTTAAATTAGAAAGTAGGAGCCTGATGGAGTTTCTCAGAGAGGCTGCACTCATTCTTTATGGACCAGTGTGGAAAAAATGGATCAAGACTATTCTGTGGGCATCTGTAAATGGACTACAGCATTGATTGTGATATAATTGACAACAAGGAAGGAAGTAGTTGGCTGACATCAGAGGCAAGTTTGAGTAGCTGGAAAAGGCAGAGTTACTCAGACTTTGAGGGAGATGTGCTGAAAAAGGTTAAGTAGAAATAAACCAATAAAACTGTTGGTACTTTGCATATTAGATCAGAACTTAGTTGTCTCTTCTGTACATTAGCTTGTTTCAATCTAAACCCTTCATATGGAAATCTTCCGCTGTGTTGGGGTTTGCTGCCTAGAACATTGCTGCTTTATCCATAGCTTTATTGAGGTGTACTGTAAGAGTTTCTGGGTGGTCTAAAAGTAAAATAACACGTCTGTATTTTCTTCTGTCTTAGAAGGTAGCATGATTTTTAAATACAATAGGCATAGAGTATACAGTGTGACTATCTGCTACAACAAAAGGTTTTCTGTATTCGAATGTAGATTTCTGACTTCACAGGAAGCAGTAGTTTGGTGATTCACCTTGTCTTCTGCACAGTGACAGTTTTGGTGTGTGAATGTGTGTGAGTGTATGTTGTGTATGAGCATAAGTTGCACATAGCCACACAGACCCATGTATTTGTAAACTCTTGTATGCTAGCTTAATTATTTTGGCTTGGTCGTCTTTGTATTTGGGGTGAGTTCTGAAAAGCTTGCTGTATATACAGAAGTTATTTGTGAAAAATATTAAAGAATTGACTGGCTAAAAAAGTTAGGGTAATTTGAAGGGTTACTGAAATAACTTTATTTTCAAATTGTGTAATTCTCTGTTAATAACTTAGAAAAGACTGTACTTGGAAATGGATTGGCTGTACAGAGTCCACAACTTTTGCTTTTTCTGGAATTTATAAAAGAATTGTGGCACTGAGAGAAGAGATTTTTAGGACACCTGTTCATAATTGATAAGGTCGAAAGGGAGAGGAGAGGGAGTGGAGTTCCAGTAAATGGTCTGAGTTAAATACTCTTCTACCAGTATCCCTCGTACTTATCTTCAGGTGTAGAATTCTGCAACAGAGTTGAAAAGCATCCCATCTGCTTTCCAAATACTTTGAGATTTGAAATTGTGTCCCTATTTCTGAGGTAGTGTCCTTCCCCTGGAGGTTAAGTACCTTTGGGAATTCCACTGGAGTTGTGGCTCTGCTGCCTGGTCTGCCTTTTAGGGAGACTTGAAGAACTACCTAAAGAAAGGGAAGTACCTCAGTTACAGCATTGCTCTGCCCTTGCCCTCTGCCAGCGTTTGGCAGTCTCGATGCTCCTCTCTGTGCCTCATTGGTTAGAAGATCGGTGATCTTCTCTTATATCCTGCAAATGCCACCACGGAGGACTCCTGCATATCCCAGTGAGAAAGAGGGACCTTAGCTGTGCCTTGCAAATTACTTTCTCAGCAACCTCAAAATCTTTCCCCCCTTTTTTTTGCACAAAACCAGTCTTTTTTTATTTACAGTTAGTTCTCGATGGGTCAGCCTCTGACCATCTCAATTACAGATCAGATATACTAGTATGGTCAATTATAACAAAGCTATTTCTTGTCATTGTTTTTACATCATTATTTTGTGTGGTCCGTGAAGACCTCAGTAATGGATACAGTTGGGTTTTCTTCATGGAGGTTAAATGCTAGTGACAAGACTGAAAAATTCAGCCAGGACCTGTAAAAGGCCCAGCCTTTTCCAGTTTATCTGGCATTGCTCAGTATTGCCATTTGGGGACTGAAAAAAGAACAGGTGGTAATAAGTAAAAGGAGGTGCCTTTGGGGGAGGGAGGCAGATGGTTCCCTGTCACCCCTGTGTGATAGGCATTTGACAAGTACTCAGGCACCAAAAAAAAAGGAGTGATTCTTGAATGCTGTATAAAGAAAAATCATAGACTGTAAACAAATATGTCATGTTATTTAGAGAACAATTTCAAAACATTATTTGAGATGCACTGTATCACCTTTAAAATTCCAAAGTGTAGTATAGTATGCTGCATGATTCTTGTACTTCTATGCTGCAAAAGGTAATGTTTGCCATTCTGTGCCATATTTGTGATCTGTATAGGGTGAGATCTTCAAGTGAATGAATTGTGTAAGATGCTGGTATCCAGCAGTACACCATGTCAAGATTTTTTGTAGTAGAACTATCCATTTCTTTAAAATTACATTTTCATTAAAAATAGTTTATATCCAAGCAAGGATATCTTGCATGTGAGTTAATATTACCATCATGGGAAACAAGGAGGAGGAATTAGAAGTCTGCATTTAATTGGAGAGCTCTGAGGCATTTTGGTTACAGGGGTGTCTTAGGATAGCTGCAAGGGATGGTGGATGCAGGCTCTTTTGGAAGAATGGAGCAGGGGGGCAAGGAAGAAGGTCATGCTGCATGTAGAGGGCTGACTTTGAATGCATGTGTTTTTCTTGGAGGGGGTGATGAGCTGGCTGAGAACTTATGCATAAGGATCAGAGGATGGAAGGACAACATGGTTATGTATGTCTGCTAGAGACCAACTAATCAAGGGGAAGA